GGGGTCGGGCTGGGCTGGGCTGGGCTGGGCTGAGCTAGGCGGGGCCTGGGTTGGCGAAGGGCGCCGGGTTGGGCTAGTCTAGTGGACTAGTTAGGTGACTAAGGTGGCGCAGGTGCTGAAACTGGGCTGAGCTGACGAAGGGTGGGGCTAGCTAGTGCGGCGCAAGGCTGGGTTGCGGCTGGCACCTGACTGAACTAACGCTGGGTTGGCCTGTCTGTGACGATTTAGGGTAGGCCGGAGTGAAGCTGGAGTCATAGTGACGAGGTGATTTGAACTCAATGCCAGTAATCCGGTGCGCTGGGCATTGGGATCTGCGGTGGGAGGTGGATCAGGACTGGGCGCAGCTTTGCCGGACGTTCTGTAAGGGTTGGACGGGCTCTGGTGAGGGTAGGGGAGGGGCGTGGGCCGTCGGTCTCCCGTGACCTTTCATGGGGTCGCAGTTAAGACTGATGCTATGCAAACGAGGCAGATGTATGGCCTGCGACAGAATGGCCCGCCTGTCTCTGAATGGCGACGGGCTGATGGTTTACTGTGACCATGGCGTTCAATCTCTCTGATTTCTTCAGAACAGTGTAATAACAGGGTGATTACATGCATTTGATGGAAAAAGGGCATTAGTGACACCCACTACAACTCTATTCCATTGCGCTGTTTGCTTTCAACTTTCTGTTGTAGGTTTTTCCATTATTTTTTCTGCCCAAACTACTGGTCAGTAATTTACCCCAGTGCCACCAAAACAGGTTGTGGGCCTCACTTTGAACTCGTACTGGACTTGAACCACTGACCAGTCCGCTGCCACGGAGTGAGTCCGGCCGAGGTCCGCCCACCGTGCCGGGGCAGAGTCAACATTGGCTCCGGCGCGGGCCGTTATCACATTTCGCCGAGCAATTTGCCGGCCGCGGGCGGCGCTCTCTCGCCGCCACTCTGTTGAATGTCTATACAAAATTCAGCGGTAATTGTGGCACGGGCGTGCACAGAGCCGCCGCATGATTCGGCCGCCGGCGATGGCTTCACGCGAGACGGTCACGCGCGCGGCCGGCTGATTGAAAGGTGCACCGGCGGCGGAGCGGCGGCCGATCGCACCTCGCGCGCTGCCTCTTATCATTACCACTGGCGGTCGCACGAGTCGAGCGGAGCGCTCATTGATTTCGGAGCCGGTGCCAGCAAAACAGGGCGAAGTCAAAGTCGCAGAACTGCGGGGGAAGTGATAGCGGAACCGAGCGGAGCAGTTGGAAGGCAGTGCCAAAATTTTTGCAAAGATCCATTTGCCAGTTCAAACCGGATAATCATGGCTGATTTAACAATACAAAGATAAAGCAATCAAGTTCTTTATATTTCCTTGCGTATGATCTGAAAGCCACTGTTATAGAAAAACTAGAGCCATACGCTACACTTTCAATAGCCAATCATCGTTCAGTGAAACTACGCTGATTGCTGGAGACTGCATCAATGCATCTGTTTCAGCTATAGGTCCTATTCTGCACGGTTATACCTCACTGTCCCCTGTCACCTCCATCCTACACCGACCTAATGACGCCACACAGGGGACATACCGTGATCGGTGCATTACGCCCAGACACCCCAGGCTATAACGTGTAACGGCCACATCAGGACAGCCACCAGCAGCGGCGGTACAAGTCCTAACCCCACCGCATACCAAACGGGAACACAGACTGATGGACTTTGCACACATGGATAGGGCAGCTTAGTTCATGTTGGGACTGTATGGAGCAATGGCACCAGGGCTTTTCGATCAAATGCACGTGAATCAAAAGTATTGGTGAACATTTATATCGCGATGAAAATACAAAAAAAAAAAACGAGTAACTGGCAAACAAAAATTAGTGAGAAGCTACAATATCAGCAGCCTCCCTGCGCTATGCTGCCGGACGCGTGCACGGTTTATTTTTGACGGGCTCTCACCGGTCCTCCTAGAAACAGGACCGGTGGAGAGAGGGGAGAGGGGAGAGAGGGGCACACCTGGCCGCCGCGAGACCGGGCCGCGCCGCTGTTTATGCCCCGACTATGAATAGCTGGATAGTCGCCACTGCAAGGCCGAGAGTGTCGAGGAGCCGCAGCTGGGCGACGAACTGGGTCAGGGGAGATACTCTGGGGCATGGGGAGGGGCGAGGGGTGTGAATGGGATGTCCGAAGGAGAAAAGCAGTCGGTCGCAGGGATCTATCAGTACTTTTGTATCGCAATCGTAACAAATTTTCCGTTACAATACCTCTGAAGGTGGATAAAATTATAGCATTTCGGTGTGCGATAATGTATATTTCGGTGTGCGCAGTGAATGGTGGGGTGCTAAACATAGACCAATGTCGTTAAGTTGGCGAATGAAAGGAGCATGTAAGGTTTATGTACATATAGATATAGGACATAGGCATCTAGAATTCCTAAAAAAGAACAGCGCATGGAGTGGGTGTATTTATAGTAATTAATTTACCCAACACTAATTTAGTGGAGGAATCAACACTAAACGTAAGGGAAACGATAAGTGTGTGGGTAACATCAAACGTGTTGAATATCATAAAGCATCAGTCACAAACGGGTAGCTATGATAAAGTTACAGAGAAAACAGCGAAGCAGGTAGGTATAACATTACACGAGACCAGACAAACGTCAAGTCGTTGGCAGAGGTAAGCAAATACATATGTCGCAGAGACAGCGTAGGTTCGCGACTAAAAGCAGCCCGCTGTGCACTCTTGACAGTGTGGGGGAGTACAGTCCACCGCTGAAACGAGCAGACAACGTCGTAACTAGAGAAAGCTGGGAAGTGCACGACCGGTGCCGATAAAAATAAATGGGCCTATTTGCCTGCTTGGGTCTGGTCGTTCTGCCAGTAAAGAATGGAACGGGGTCATTGCGGTACAGAGCCATCTCACGCCGCTTCCCGCAGGCATCCTGAAGCTGGGGAAGAGGAAAGCTCGATAAAAGTTACGAATAAACGAATAAACATTAACTTCCCTTCAAGCTTTTTTGCCGTTTTAAGTCGAGCTTCGTTTCTGAACCAGAACAGCATGTACCTACCTAAATGTGTGAAGTCGAACATTACCGGTTATAAGGTACATACGTTACGTGATCTTTGTCAAGTTACACAAAACGTTATCAACTCCTCGTTGTTTTGGAGGCAGACATTGTGAAAAACTGACACCTCTTTATCGTCGGCCCGCTGGGGAGTTGAACGCCCTCGGCAGCCGGCGGCGATTCATGCAGTATTTACGCTGTGAGCCGGCCGGCCCCAGCTGGCCGCGCGGATAATACCGTCTTTGTACGTTTGGACCGGCACGCAGACTCAACCGGACCGCACTGCGCTGATGGATAGGGGGAGACAGCAGGGGAGGGGAGGGGCGCGGTACCCTCAGCTGACACCGGACAGCTCAACTACAGTCGCGACAAACCGCCGTGACCAGGGCGTCAATCAAAAGTTCGCGATTAGGTGCTGTGTTTTTACGCACTCACCAGCAACAAAAGCCCCTTTTTGTGCAATAGTTTTCAGTAAATGGGGCAGCAAACTGGGGCATATTAGGTTATACCGAAAGTTGCGCTATATTTGACCACAAAAAGCGTTTTTTACGCGGTCGGTCGCGCAAACCGCTCGACCACCAGGTTCCACTCGCTGACATTTCCATCAGCACCTCCCTCCGGCAGCGCGGTGACCCAACACCGTCCCACCCGGACACCCCGCACCCCTGGCGAAATGTCACTGAGGGGCCGGCGGCACCGGGGCGACGTCCCCTCCCCTGCCCTCCCCGGCGGGCGCCCGGCCAGTCGCCGAGCCGGGGACGGGGACGGAGGGGGAGGGGAGACAGCGGCGACGCGACGCCTGTCGTTCGTCCGCCGTACCGGGGAACGGGCGACGACCCCAGCGAGGGGTTTCGTCACAGGGACAATGCCGCGCCCCGACCGCGTGACGACTGGGGAACCTTGCTGTGGGTTAGAGCACATGTGTGGTGCAGAGCACAGCACACCGACTACAGGTGTTAAAGGCGATGTTATCTCGTCTCTCAGCGACTTGTTAAATAGGTCTGTGTCGGGCCGTGACCTGTCAAACGGAACTGTGACAGACTGGGACGCCTCACGCTGGTTTGGGTCACGTGACTGTCATGGTGTGGCAGCCACGTGTCGCGGTCCATGTCATGTGACCATGCCATGGCGCCTCGTTACACGGTGCTCAGCCAAAGCCAACCTCGCCTCGTCTTATGTGAGCCACACATCAGCGGGTCGGTTACCTGACTGGCAATGAGAAACACAATAATGAGTGAAATACACCAAGTGAAAAGGCAATAGTCGTCGAGAGGAAAGAAGAGTAGGAATCAATATAGAAAAGATATAGAGGATCGAGATTGAGCCAAAGCTGAATCAGGCGTTCGGTGTTATCAAAATGAAAGGCACGTAACCACAGGTTTTCTGATGCTTCCGTAATGTGCTGTGGCGTGCAGCGCTCATTTACAGGTTAAATGAACAGGACGTCTGTACTATGCCGTTCCGTAACAGTCATTACCGTGACACAAACAGGCTGAGTGAGCTCTCCCGTCCCTCGGTAGACCCGGCGGAGGAGGCCGCGATGTTTCACGACGTTTCGTTAATCACCCCTGTCAGGTGGCCGATGTTTGGAACGATTTGACAGATGCTTAACGTCGGATCCCCGGGGCCGAGACTCGTTTCCAATCGAGCTGCCAGCCGCCCGTGTCGCAACCACGGAAAACACGTCAATAAACGGTCCTGCTCGCCGCAGGCACGCGATGCAATTTGTACCGCTGTCCATCATGTGGTCGAGTGCCGGTGATTCATTGTCGGGTATGGTTCAAGCCCTTCCTACCCGCAGCACATGTGTGTCGTGACACAAGCTCCACATGTTTCGTGCACACCCTCAGTCGCGTCACTCCATCTCCCGTGTCGCCCGTTAAATGTCCGCCGATTGTCGCCTGGTTGTCTGAGCTCATATCCCCGGGGATTCACCGTCCGCTCGCCTCTGACCGAGTGTCGTCTGTTTCAGCGTGCAAAAGGAAAGAGGAGCAGCCGGCCGCCGAGCAGCCGCCTGCGCCCAAGAAGCCGCGCCTCGTGTTTACCGACCTACAGCGGCGAACACTGCAGGCTATTTTTAAGGTGAGCCACGGCCCCAAACACACCTAATGACCCAGCTGTCTCCGCCTTTCCGCAATGCTGGGATATAGGTCTCTTTCAGTTATTTTATGTAGGGATTATGCTCGGTAAAGCCAGGAAAGAGAGAAAATATCGAAACTCAAAATCTCTCAGGAGCCCTCAGCGTCGTTCCTTTTTAACAAAAGCGCATTCTTCTTCGGTTTTCTGCGCTGGGGAAATTCATCTTTTGTCTGCTTAGCTTCAAAATTGGATAGCTTCGAATTTCAAATTATGAAAAACAACGATTTCTCTAAATACGCTCAAAGCCTAGCACTCGCCTCTTTATCTTCAGCGCTCTGTTCTAATCGCACCCGTCCCTGATCCCTCTACCCATTTACGAGGAGCAGTGACACTATCGGTGCAGTTCACTGCTTCCCCGATAGGTGACAGCACCGCCTGAAACGCCTTTCAGCCGACGCATGACTGAGGTACTGTACCGAGGCCGTTCGCCAGAGCCAGAGTCGGCACTCGGCAGATGGGGACAGAACTGATATAGGTAATAGGTATGCTCCGAAAATGGGTTTTTATGAGGCAAGGAATTGATCGAAATCTTCCAATCTATAAAAGTTAAATGGTTAAAAGTTAAATGCCATCTACATCTGGATCTGCCTCTTCGCCCTTTCCGCCGTATGGTGAAGCACAAGCTTTGTAAGCGATGCGGTACAGCATAGCTTCAGGCGTATGTACTGCTAGCGCCATCTGTCAGCAGATGTAAAAGTGGGGCTTAGAGTCCGGCCGCACAAAGACAGCAGCGTTGACGATCGGGGTTTTAGGGCGCTAAAAGCGTTGGATGCGCCTGCGTTTTACGACACAGTCTTTGTTTTCGCTCGGCGGTTACATGCGTGCCTGCAGTTGATGGCATTTGGGGGTGATCATCGTTGTGGCATTGCCGCTGGCTGAACTGAACACTCGCTGGCGGCTCGGGTAATGGCAGAATTTAATTAGCAATCTGCCATGATCCAGCCATTGTAGCAATCGCAGGCGACTCAGAAATAGAACAGAGGTCATGGCACTGTCAGACAACGGGGCTACGATTGCGAATCAAGGCCAAATGGCGGAGGAAACCACCACTCAGTGCGGTTTATGCATCTCGGGCTAAGTGTAATATCCAAAACGATTGATGCCATGGCGCATGGAGCGGTCCTGTTAGCAGATGCGACTCGACTGAAATCAGTCCGATGATAATGATCCCTAAAAAAGAGCTCCATATTCGCGATCAACAATATCTGTTGTGATGTGTTGTGTGTTGAATGTGATGGTGTGGTCGAAGAAATGCCCATGTTCAAAGAACGATCACAAGCAGGGGTGGAGCTTCCTATTCACTTGGTGGGGCGCCTGCCCCACCAACTTGCCATTTTTCCCCACCAATAAGCGTTTTGCCCCACCAACTTAAGCCGATTTGCAGGACTTTACTGCTTAGCAAACCTATGTTTTTCGCATTGAGGAGCTTTGAAATGTCTGTGTAATGCAAAATATTATCTCTGTAATGAAAAGAATTGATTCATTGTTGAATTTTATCCAACTTAACAATCGGACATTGTAGGTTTGACAACTTTTTGCCCCACCAACTTTCCTGGAAAAGCTCCACCCATGATCACAAGTACTTCCTTCTCAAACAAGAGACCAACCTTTTATTTGAAATAATGCCGAATTACTTTTACATTAATCTGCATACAAATAACTAAATACACAAAAGTACACCACCATTCTTGATGTCGGTTCTTCTCTGTTCTGACCATATGCGTTTCTTTTCGCCCCGCAGGAGACGAAGCGTCCCTCGAAGGAGATGCAGGTGACGATCGCGCGCCAGCTCGGCCTCGAGCCCACCACCGTGGGAAACTTCTTCATGAACGCGCGCCGCCGATCGCAGGACAAGTGGAAGGAAGATGATAAGCCGGGCGGCGGCGGAGGCGGCGGCGGTGGCGGCGGCGGCGGCGGCGGCGGCCTGCTCCAGAACCAGGTGCTGACCACAGCCGTCAGCACGGCGCCCCTGCAGCACGCGCTCGACTCCCTGACGGGCGACTTGTGACATGAGGACTCGGAGGGCGCCGGCGGCGTCATACGCCTCTACGTCGGCTCCGACGACAACTGAGCGACGCGTCCGGAGCGACGCGCGCGGCGGCCGACGGTTCCACGGCGGCCGGCCGCAGCCGCGCGGCGCCCGTCCGCCGCCGCCGACCGACACTTCTAGTCAGCCGGGCTCGGCCTCCTCACAGTGATGCTAGTCATGAACGCTAGGAGACAACCATGCTAGTCAGGCGCAGACGACAGGCCATAGTGATCCATAGCAATACGCGTGTTGGCGCGTCGCGGCGGTGGCCGCGCCGGCAGCGGCCGCCGGGCCGCCAGGCCTGCTCGTGCCGCCGCGCTCTCGGCCGACTCTGCGCGCCGGCGCCAACTGTGTGTGCGTGTTTCCATTCTGATCTCAACACATTCCGTAGGTATTTTTAGCAGGTTCGGCACCGAGACGAAAGATATTTCTATATAGATGCAAGGCGGCGCGCAACGCGGCCTGATCGAGTGTACATAGACACATTCATTTTATGCATGGATCGATCACCTGAGCACACTGTACATACCCCAGGTTGTTGTCTTTGCATTGCCTTTGATTTGTTGTCGTCGCACCCGTAGAGCGTCGCGACCGAGCGCGCCGCGCCGCCGCCGCCGCCTCACCATTTGTATACTGTCCGTGGTTTTTTGTACACGACTGGCGGTCGGCAGGCGAGCGAACCGGGCCTCTGGCGCGGCGCCGACCCTCACGAGACGCCACGGCCGCCGACGGCGCGCCCGCCTCTACTTACCGGCGCGCGGCGCGAGCGCGGACCGCGCCTGTCCGCGGCGCGCGCGACTATGTGGCCTGCTGTCGCCCCCCACCCCCTCCCCGCCCCCGACGTGCCGCGAGTGGGCCGGCCGATGGCGGACGGCGCCTAGGTATCTAGATGTTGGTGCAATAGCCGTCGCATGTCCCACATATCACCGAACCCCACCGCGTCGCGTGCGCGCACGGCGCGGCCGCCCGCCCGCCGGCCCCACCTGAGCTGACCTGACCCGCACGGGACGGGCGCCACGGCCAAGGCCAACAAATCGTCTAGTCACTCCAGCATTCCAGTAATCGCATTCCGGACGCCAGGTTGTTTTCTACGCTGGTTTTGTTGTGAGGTGCTCTGGTGCCACCATCGCGAGTCCTTCAAACTGCTAGTCAACCGTGCGTGGGCGCGGCCGCCTCGGCGTTTAGTCCTCTGAGTTGGTCTCGCCTCGCAGCCAGTCATTATTTAATCTATTTATTATTGTCGGTAGAGCGTAGGATGTGAGCGGCACCGGAAAGGCAGAGCGCGAGAGCGAGCACAAAGTGAGAGGAGGCAGCGGCGCGCCGGGCCGGCCCCCTCCGGCCAGCCCGTCGCTACCTCCAGTCGGACCCCACCCAGCCCGTATGCAGTCGTTTTAGAGAATGTAAGACTCTCTGGTGTAAGTGAATAAATAGAGTAAGTGAACGGTGCGTTTGGTACGATTCTGGATGGAACAAGGTGAGGATAATGCACGAGAAGACTGACGGGGCGGATATTTACAGGTACGCAGTGGAAGATAAATGTCATTATCTATGCCTGCACGGGACAGAACAGTTCAACGTGCATAGCGCGGCATTCCCATCAAGTGCCTGGGTCTTCTCAAACACAGCCCAGCATTTCCAGCAACCCACGGAGACCTGGCAACGGACATGACTGCAGCGCGCCAGCCTTCCGCCCGTTCATGACCATTGCAAATCCAGTTCAGCAGGCGCGTGCACGCCCAATGTACGCCAATGGCCGCGAGCACGAGCGGCCCATGGTCCTACAAACTTGTCCAGCGGCGCCCCCGTCGGCTGAACTATGCCGACGTTTATGCGTGTCGGATCGATGACTATGAAGAGCGACCCCTCGTCACGGGGAGGGGGTGGGGGAGGGTATAACGGTGGTGGATGGGGGGGGGGAGTCGCAGCTGCCGGGTCAAGTACTGCGTTCACTGAAAGGAGCGCGATACAGCCGCCTATTCATGCGTTCCGCTGCAGCAAGACAGCACGCTCTATAGCGCGGCCTGACCTCGTATATTATGGGTAAATCCACCACCCTTAGGCTACAGGCCACTAGATAATCGACCATAAGTTCATTTGCCTCACCAGGTCACCACAAGTTATAAACATCACGGCATCTACGAACACCCGCACTCTAAGTTTAGTAAAATAGCCGCGAGATGGCAGCAGTATACACCGCCTGCCGAGTACACTGTACCGCAAGACAGACACCAGGCAGGAGGGACAAGATTCAGCAGACAGCCCCAGACTAACGGCGAAACGGAATGCTGACGGCGGATGACTGACTTGGAAAGAGACAGATATGAAAGTGGCAAACATGATGGCAAGCAGGTGTCTTGCGTCACGACCTTCAAGTGAAGGACCTCTTTCAATCGGTTACTTTGGGGAGGCCATGCCAAAGGCGTAGGTGTCCGCATCGTCCAGGACATCATCCTAGAAACCAGATCATAAAACCCCTTGGCGTAAGCAGGTGAAATATTCCGACACCTGCGAACTCAACCGAGACCTGCCAATTCCAGGAGCCACAACCAAGTTACAAGTTTTCCACCCTCCACAGCAAAAACCATATCAACTTGTGAATCGCATATTTTTGTTGTGCGATACAATCACCCTGACCTATGTATGCATAGTGCATACCCTCTGACGGAGCTCGGGGTACTCCCGTCTCGGCGAACGGAGCATTCAACGGGGCGGGCGGGCGGGCGGGCGGAGGGCTAATTAATCAGCCACCGGCACCGGAGCCTAACAACACGCTAAAACCGCTGATTTATCACCAGCAGATAACAAGGAGCGCCGTGAGGATCCGGTAGCGTCGACCGGCCATAATGATCGCGCCGAACGGCACGGCGGGCGCCGGCAGGAACCCGTACCGGAGGCGCCGGGCGGCGGGAGGAACCAGGCGGCGGCAGGAACCCGTACCGGAGGCGCCGGACGGCGGGAGGGTCAGGCGCCGGCAGGAACCAGTACCGGAGGCGCCGGGCGGCGGGAGGACCGGGCCGCGGAAGGAGCGGGACAGGGGAGGAACCAGGCGGCGGCAGGAACCCGTGTGGGAGGGCCGGCCAGGTCAGATACGAGATGGAGAAGGGTTAAATCGATTCCATATGAGAGGAAGCTCATTAAACGTTTACTGTCACATCAATGGCCAGGGCCTTTTACGCACTATTTTAATGATTTATTTAAATAGCAGTTTGGCAGGAAATGAGCCGACGAGCCAGTCAACTAGTTTGAATTCCCCGGCCTCATCATCCACGGGAATAGCATTACGACACCAGGCACGTTGCGCTGGTTAGATATGTATCTACCAAGGACTTAAAGCCGCTTACTGCCCTTGCTGCTTAGTGGAAACTCAGTTTGTGCACTAACGAAACGAGCTGGCATCTACTTATCAAAGTATGCTACACTGTTTGGCACATCAGCTTCACAAAAAGACGTTACAGTTCCATGTGAATGTATTGAACACTGGATACGAGGATGGCAAACATGATGGATGGCGAGGGATGAACATGCTACTCCGTATGCTGCCGCTGATGACGATGAGTATGACGAGAGGCCAGCATCACAGAGCGAGGGAGCGGCACACGGCATCACAGACGTTCGAACAGTGAGTTTCATGTGAGATTACATATTCACAGAGTAGCAAGCCGTCTCGACGTGGTCTCCCCAAATGGCAGTACTGATTACACACACGAGACTATACATACACCTGTTTAACGTGGCCAAACACAATGAATTCGGCGCCGGTCAGCTTCCTCCATACAGACAGGCAGGCTGGAAGACTCCCACAGCGAAAACACACCGCCAATCAAGGCAAGCCGCGGCTCAGTCGAGGCACATTTTATCACAGCGTTAGTCCAAGGAAAGGCTCACCTAACTACAACAGCTACGCGCTAGAAAGTCAACTCGCAACACAGTCCTCACAATTCGTTGATTCGTAGCAAAATGGATGACATGCAGTCGCAAAAATACAGATGAATACAAGTCTAAACATTAACGATCGTCACAATCAAATCGGAGTATTTATCGGCAAATACGACGTAAACTACCCCACACATCAGCAAAAAGCTCACACGGCAGTAAGCTCGTCTGTCTCACACACGCTCCTACCATCGAGACTGCTCTTACATTATCAGCGACAATCAATGAATGACATCGGCGTTATCGACATTTCATAGAGTATTAGGTGACGGATGCCTCGGAAAACCGTGCAGCATTAAAAAATAATGACAGCTTCCTGTGGTGTGATGCCAACAGCCGAGTGCCCATCGCACGATAATTAAAGACAACGACGCGTGTTGATGAGTGCAAAGTCCAGATAGGAATAATGCGAAGAATGAACCGAATATGCCTCATGGTACAATTGGCATAACGCGAAAGGCAATACAAAAGGTCACGATAAATAATTCCGAAAAATAAAACACAAAATCCAAATTTAAAGCAAAACGCAAAACACATAGCTCTCGAGTGACGCTACTGATGAGTATTCGGAGCGCTTACCACGCCGGAATCTAGGAGCAGCCATGTATGCAGGCGATGCACTGATGGATAATCGCGGTCCAGATGTAAAAAAGTAATGGCAGACCACCGTGTTTTGTGCTCTTTCAGATGAAGGGCACTTGTGCATTTTTTACTGAAGGAGGTACACAATAATGTGAAAGTAAAGCCTCCTTCCATTATGATAACGTTAAAAGAGGCATAATCTCCAGCCGATGGTATGTAGCGATTAAGTACATAAAATAGCGTGTAAAAGAATGATGATTCTATCGGTTCCAGCTGAGTAAGGGGAGGGGGAGGACCAATACCGTTTGTGTATGGATCAGCCCGTCCCAGTCTCCCAGTAGCTCTGATTGGGAGGCAAGCCAAACACTTCCACCAGGCGAGTTCGGGTTACTGCCGCCCGAACCAGCCCCTCCCTTGTGGCAAGTACCTCCCCAGCTCGGGTACTCCTCCTATGAACGTACCGAGAGGAAAGGGCGTACCACTGAATCCCCGTCACAAGGCACGTCAGCATCAGCCAAAAAACTGCTGTTTGAGCGTCGTCTATCCCTCCACGGTATATCAAGGCATAAGCGATCACCCTGACGAAACAGGCCATCTCTAAAAGACACCACGTCCCGCCCGGACCCCGGCTACCCCTCCCTCGCCGCCCGCCCGCCCGGCGCGAGGCCCTCGGTCGCCCACCTGACGCCGATAGATCGTCACCGCTTGGTGCGTTTCTCGGCCGACTGCGACGCCGACTGAATGATGATCCGATTTCGCTGTCGTGTGACGCGCGCGGCGGGCGCCGACGTCGCCGGCCGGCTGAGTCCCGACAGGAGCATCTGACGCAGCCGGTTCGGCGCAGACGTGGGCGCCAGTACCGGCTCTGTGGGGTGGAGGCGGAGGTGGGGTTATACACGGTAAAAAGCGTGCAGGTGTGATGCAAAGCGTTCAGAATGCACATGGACAAGCCGTGATGTGACAAACCTACATATGCACATGTAGGCACACCCACTACCTACGTACGTAGACATGTATGCAGACATTATTAGCTTTCTCTCTGTAAAGTGTTGGTAGGGAGCCCAAGCGCAAATCACGATGAAAATGACGAAAGAAAATAGACATATTTAGCGAAGGCATTGACACTAAAATGCCCCCACCACCTATCTCATTTTATTTTCCGCAATGTCCGTCCCCTGCCCCAAGAGACCGCACGACCGAATAGCCAGACCCGTGTCACGCGCCAAAGACACGGGCACCCCGTAGTTTCACTTTCCGTAAAGTGTATCGACGCAACTCGACACTTTAGGAGCCTTATTGGAAAGGCAGATCACAGACGGCCGGGCGGCCACCAAAACAACAGCGGACAGCCTCACAGGGACAGTCAAACTCAACTGATACACAACAGTGTTTGAAAGGAGCACACAAACCTGTCGAGCGGCATGTAAATGGTGAGAATTCGACGCGAACGATTCTCGTTCAGACACTATCGAACACAAGTTATGCAATAAATCGCATCGAATGGTCGAAGGTAAGCCACAAACCGAAGACCACCCGTCCCGTTCTGGCCAGACCGTACCGTATCACTCGTCTCTGTCCCTCCCTCTGGCGTACCTGGCGCACTGCTGGCGTCGCTCGGCGCCCGGCTGTGAACCAGAGGAGCCGGCTGTACGGCCGCCGCCGCCGCCGCCGGGTCCAGCGCCATGCCGTGGGCGGCGGCCGCCGGCGGGGGCGGGGGCGGCGCGGCGGCCGCCAGCGGCGCGTGGCCCGAGCCGCGCGGCCCGTGCAGTCGGCGCCGCAGCTCGTCCCGCTGCCGCCGGTAGTGGCTGCGCTCGCGCATCAGGTCGTGGACCATCCGCTGGAGCCGCTTCAGGCCGCGCACCTGCTCCTCCGTCTGCGCCTGAAAACGTAATGGGACAATGTAAGACGAGGGACAAAACTTCGACGGCAAAAAAGAAGCCCGATAAACGAATTAACCTCTCATTCACTGTTTCCCTGAGCCAGAGTAGGCTTACTTAAATCCAGCATATTATGCAGCAGCAGTGCATCCAACCTTTCGCCCTGGCTTCCGCGTTGTTCACTCTGCCAAGTATCCAGTACTCCACCCGCCCTCTCAGCCCTCCCCTTCCCTCTGCCTCGATTATCCCCACTCACATCCAAATCAGCCACGGCCAGGTCCTTCTCCCTCCCATCGATACGCTGATCCACCAGTCTCTGAAAGGTCCTGCAGTAGAGGAGCCGCAGTTCGACGGCGGCCAGTCCCAGCAGGCGGGGCATCAGCTGCCGCTGGTTGAGCAGCAGCCGTCGGCCGTCCTCTGGCGCCGCGCCACCCGCCAGCCGACACGCCTTGTGCTCGAGCACCTCGTCCACGGCGTGCATGGCCTCGTCGAGCTCGAGCAGCCGCCGCGTCTCGGCCGCGTCCAGCTGACGACCCTGTGACCCGGGGGGAGGGAGGGAGGTCACTGTTATGTCTATATAGGAAAAGAAAATTGTTGTTCATGTTTGAGATGACATTCTACGTTCATGGAATGGAATATAAATTCCATACATTATACACATGAAACGAGAAACGGCCTTGTCAACTTACGACACTTACATACGAACAACATTGGGCCCATCTCGCTCTCCTTTTCGACATTCACCACTCATATTACAGCCATTGTTTCGTGGAGCTGACATATGTACCTTACCCGTCGCTTTATGCCCCACCCCACGAGCATTACGGCCTTTCCCACCCCTTCCCGTCCTAAACCCTCCCATCCTAGGCTATACCTGCTCCTCCTCCCCTTATCCCTCACCTGATGCAGTTTGGAGTTGATCCGCCGCCGCTGGTTGTGCAGCGACTCGCGGCAGTCCCTCAGCAGCTGGATCTCACGGCGAATGGACGCAGGGTCGTCCGGGGTGGGTCGGACCGGCTCCGAGTCAGCGTCCGGGTCGGGCGGCTCCACCGGCTGGGGAGGGGAGGCACAGCGGTCAGGTCAGAGGTCGGTCGGCTCTACAGACTGGGGACGGAGGTCACAAGGTTCAGGTCAGAGGTAGACAAGGGAGGGGTCACACAGGTGAGAGTCCAGTCAGAGGGAGGCGGGATACAGACAGGAGAGAGGCAAGAGACAGAATGATCATGTCAAGTCAGACATCTTAGTTTTGAAAAAGCTGGTCAGATCACACGTGGCACTACTCTGTTTACAAGACCAAAGTCAGGCATCCGTCAGAATCGAGTTACCATTTACCCAGCGCCGCACGCCAGGACAGAAAGCAAATCATTGCACAAAACACTTCATCCATCGTTCACCCATCGCTTCCAGAACATGCTATATTTACTTTCATATATCCGCAGTACAACCTACAATCCACAGCCCCCTCCCCCTCCCCTTGAGACGGTCAGCTCCAGCCCTGCCCACGGCGCCACCTACCGTGTCGGCGGCCGGCGTGGCTGCCGGCTCCGGAGGCTCCGGCGCCGCTCCCGCCTGTGGTGGAGCGGCGGTGTCCGTACCGCCTGTGACCTGCTCTCTGAGAGCCTCCAGGCCGTCCGAGTCGCGCAGAACTCTGTGCGTAGAGAAGGGAGGGTAAGTGGGTGAGAGAGCGAGTGAATGAGTGAGTGAGTGAGTGAGTGAGCGAGTGGAAGGGAAAAGACGAGCGAGATTAGGCGAAACATATCAAGAGAACACTGTGAGATAGCGATAAAAAACAACAACAAAGAACTACATGTAACATCTTAGTCATGAGAGATGCATTACGAGTGAACAATGAACATTGATACACAAAGACATCTCTACAGTTTGTACACTGAATTTACAGTTCAGTCTTTACGACTCGACATCTCATCCAGTTCTCTCCATCAGTCAGCCCACCACTCTGCACACCCGCCTACCTGAGGTCCTCCTCAGTGCAGGCCTGTCTCCGCCGCCGCTGGTAGGGGTCGGAGGACGAGGAGGGTGAACGTGGCCGGGCGCCGCCACCACCCTGACAATCACACAGACACCGGTCAGAGTGGTACCGAGGTACACTACCGGGGTTCGACGGTAAAATGATTGAAACAGCGAGTGACCATCCAAGAAACGGGCCCGGGAAAATCTTAGATACGAACTTCTCAATAGTTTTTTCTTTCTCTGAACTACGCGCTTTTTCATATGTTGGTTGACATCACTTGATTCTCAATTATATTGTTGGGTAAAGGTTCTAACATATCTGTCTGACGTTTGTACTCTGTATGTAGGCAGAAACTATCTTAAGAATTCGAAAAACCCACAGAGCCATCGCACCGGAGGCCACGTCCACTGGCCGTTCCATCTCCTCCCCAGTTTCGCGTGACGCCCCCCCCCCCCCCCCCCCGGCAGCCCGAGACGGCCTCACCTGGTGTCCCGCCGCTGTGGCTCCCGAGGACCTGCTGCGCTCGAGGGCCGCTCTCGGCTGCGTCTCCCTGTCAGCGGAGACGCCCGAGCGCCGCTGGTCCGCTCCCCGCTCCGGGAGATCGGTCGAGCCGGGGACGGTGGGACCGCCGTCCGCGGGGGGTCGGGGTGCAGGGGCCTCCTAGGGACGGAGCGGTGTAGTCAGACGGGGAGAGAGGTGTGAGAGACTGAGATACACCTGAAGACAGGAACGCATACAGAAAACAGGAGGATACCCGCTACACACAGAGAATGAAGACACTAGAAAAGAAAGATACAGGACAAGCCTCAGCCATGCGCTTTAAGAAGAAAGGGACTACTTACAAGTTACAGGCCTTGGCACATTGTAATTACTGATAATCACGCAAAAGTAAGAACAACATTAGGATACCAAATACCTATGCAGTGGAGATTACTGCTAAACTAAATGACTGACTGTCTGTCCTACCTTGCCCACCAGCGCTGCGTCCACCTGGTGTACCCGGCTCTGGGGCGGGTCGGCGGCGGTCCGGGCGGCAGAGGCTGCCTCGTGTGGTGTGGACGCATCGGCCGGCTCACCGATCACAGCTGCCGGGCACAGAGAGGGAGAGGGAAGTCGTCAGAAGGGAGAGGGAGAGAAGGGCCAGTGAAAACTGCTTGGCAGTGGTCAGGAGATATAGATCCAGTCAACAATGACAGGGCAAAGTCGGCCAACACAGCGCAGGAGCGGCGCAGAGGATGATAGGATGAGATGACTGAGTCGATTGAGACGGAGGATGGAAATGACAGGAAGTGGCATACCATGAGGAGGCGTTTAGAAGCTCTGATGCCAGGATCACAGCCAAGCGGTTCGAAATATGTAGGACCACCTGTTTGTCTCCTTAACGCAAGATAATTGACTGGATACCGATAAATAGTCCGATACACTACCATCTAAACCGATAAGTCGGGACATGACAGACGCATGACACCGTATTATCTTGTCGGCTGTGAGACTGAGGACAAACTCACACAATATCGGCCAGGATAAGCCACACAAAGAACTGCGATAAGAACGAACGGTTCCGTGAGCTTTGAATTAATAATAAAGAAACACGTACGGGCGTGCGACAGAGCGCATGATCCCACGGAGGCCGGAGCAAAGTAAGAAATGAGCACCGAATCATCTGACAGTGGTCAGGAGCGGGGGTCGACTGTGTCCGTCAGTGACAGCACACAGGACGCCGCCGAAGGAGCGGTGACATGGCCACGCCACCGCTCCGGCGCCAGCGTGGACAAAAGATCTCGCCAGCGACCCGTCCGTCCGGAAACACGTTACCGTGAGTTCGAGCACTAAACTTAGTGACAGTGGTCAAGCCAAGCCACGGTGGAGCTGGTCGGTAGACACATCGACACAAACCTGCTGCCCCTAGCCGCCCACCGGCCACCGGCGGCTCAAGTGGGCCGGCACGCGGCGGAACATTTCCGAAAGGTCCACGGCGGGTCGCTGCGTCATGATAAGCGCGCGGAGCGGGCCGACCTGAGCTTGGCGCTGCGCTCAGTCGAGTGGCTGTGCCGCGTCTGACACTATACCCCTGCCGAGCGGCGTCCGGGAGAGCCGCGAGCATGAACGGCCAGCGTCGCCAAAATTCTGTGATAGTCCTGGAGCCGCGGCGTCAGGACGCTGCTGAGACAGTGGACAGTGGGCAAGCAGTCACAACTGATACAGTGGACAGTGGGCAAGCAGCCACAGCTGAGACAGCGAACTTCACGGCGTTCCGGGGCATGCAGCGCTCGCCGCGAGCTGGCGGTGGGGGCCGGGTGCGCTCTCGCAGCCGGCGGCGGGCCGAGCCGGTGCGGCGCACGCGCAGCTCGCCGCAGCAGCTGCACGACCAGCTGCAGCGGGCTGTGCTCGGTCAGGAGGCGGTGGACACGCTCAGTCTGCTGCAGCGAGGTGCCGACCCCAACCTGCGTGTCACCGCGCCGCACATCCGCACGCCCCGATCGCTACCCTCCTCGCGCAAAGAGAAAACAATAAAATTTCTAAATCCATCGAAGGGCCCGCGCTTCCGTCATGACAACAGTTGGAGCATACGCGACCCGGAGGCTGGCGCCGACAACTACGCCTTCTGGCACACCGAGCACAGAGACAAGGGCGCGCGTATGGAGACGCTACTGCACCGGGCGGCCCGAGACGGTAAGGCCGAGCTGGTGCGCGCCCTGCTCGACCACGGCGCCGACGCGTCCGAGCGCGACTGGGCGCAGCGCACGCCGCTGCACGTGGCCGCCGCCGCCGACACGCCCGGCGAGGTGCTACAGCTGCTGCTGAGCGCGCCCGGCACGCTCATCGACGCGCAGGACGCGGCCGGCGACACGGCACTGCACTGCGCGCTGCGGCAGAAGAACCGGCGCAACACCATCCTACTGCTGGAGGCCGGCGCGCGCGCCGACATACGCAACAAGGGTGGCCGCACGGCGCTCAAACACCTGCTCAAGGACTTTCCGCAGGCGCTGGAGACGGCGTTCGACCGGTCGCTGCGCCTGGTGCGGCCGCTCGGCTGGAGCGGACGCGCCATCCAGTTCGACTACTCGCTGTTCAACCCGTGCCTGCTGGACGACGACGAGAGCTCTTACGTAAGCTGCATGGAGACCCGTCTGCTCAACAGCATCGAAGTTGAGGCCACGCGCGACCAGCTATTTCTGCACCCACTCTGCCAGAGTTTTCTCAACCTCAAGTGGAAGATGATCTCGCCGTTGTACGTGATCGACATCATCATCTTCTTCGTGTTTGTCGTCAGCTTCAACGTGTTTCTGTTCGCCGTTGTGGACAAGCGGCGTGCCGAAAACATCACCGACAGCGCCCTAATCAGCAACGACATGGGGTTCTTCAACACGTCTGACGTCGTCCCGCCGGACCGCCGCGGCTCCGCGGGCATCGACTTCAACGTCACCTACTTCAACATGCCGCTGGAATCCATCACATTCTTCATCGTGGCCTTCACCTGTGTGTACATCGACCTGCGCGAGACGATCAAGATGTGGGTGCTCGGCGTGATGCCGTACCTGCGCGGCCCGGAGAACGTCATCACGTGGTTCTGCACCTCCACCGCCATCGCCTGTCTGTGCACGGACGTGCTGACGTTCGAGCAGCTGCGTCAGGTGGCCGCCGCCTGCCTGCTCGCCTCGTGGACCGAGCTGCTGTTCATGTTCGGCCGCGCAGAGTTCGCCTCCATGCACGTGATGCTGTTCGTGACGCTGATCCGCACCCTCTCCGTGTTCATGATGGTCTACACGGCCATCACGTTCGCCTTCACCAGCAGCTTCTTCGTCCTGTTCTGCGACAAACCGGACGAGTTCGATGGCCGCTTCGACACCATGACCAGCGCCTTCTTCACCACGGTGGTGATGTCGATCGGCGAGCTCAACTACGACCCGACGCAGCTGCACGGCAGCAAGGGCGGCTACGCCATCTACCTGCTCTTCATCTTCTTTATGCTCATCATCACCATGAACGCTATGGTCGGTATGGCCGTCAACGACACACGCGACATGGCCGCCAAGGCCGAGATCAAGCTGCACAAAAAGTACATCGAGTTCGCGCACCTGTTCGAGCGCCACCAGCGGTACCGGCGGCGCAGCTGTCTGTGGCGGATCCTGCCCTCTGTCAACATCACCCTGCTCGGCATGCTGCCCGAGGGCCGGCTGGCGGCCAGCTGGCACGTGCTGCCGGGACCGCAGCTCGGCTGGCGCCACCGCTGGCGGGTCATGTTCCCCGGCAAGGAGGGCGGGTACGCGGCGCAGCGCACCAAGGGCACTGAACAGCTGCGTCAATGGCTGGCCCAGTGGCCCGGCCTGCTGCGGCAGGCGGCGCGTATCGTCATCATCAAACACCACGACAGCTGGGACCAGCCCGTCGAGCCGGGCAGTGAGGACTTCCAGGAGACGGAGACGGACGGACCGCGCCGAGCGGACAAAGACGCCGGGAAGGACAGCACAGACAGCGCCGAGAGCAGCGGCATATCCAGTGACAAGGACATCGCGCCAGCCGGCGCCAAACGAGCCTCCCTCCGACCGGAGGATGCCGATCCTGAGAGCGGCGGCGAAGAAGGGGAGAAGGACGGGGGAGAGGGAGAGGATGAGGATGAGGGGGACGGCGGCGGGGCGCCCGACCAGCTGGTGGAGCTCCGGCACGCCGTGCTCGACCTCAAGTGTCAGCTGGGTAAGATGCAGGATCAGCTGGCGCACATAGGCCGAGCCGTCTCCAAGATCGCCTACACGCAACAGTCGACGGTCATACACACGTGATCAGACGTCAGCAATGGTGTCAGAGCGTGATTAGACGTCATGAGACATCATAAGTGACGTCGTTGGCGTACGTTATCGGTGCTTGACTGGTGAGTGGGACAGGCGGCAGCTGGAGTGATATGTGCTGCCCGGTGACGTGGTTAAGAACGTTAAGCCGGTAAATGATATCATATTCGTGGTGTTGTTACGATATTTCGTTGATAGAGCAAAGTACAGATACTTGTCAAGGAACTGCAAAGTACAGTTTCGCCCTTGTGTCGATAACCAATCTGATAGTGCCGGGAGATCAGATGGAGACTTTACACTGCCAGCTGCAGGGCAAGATTATGCATTCTGCGGCTCCTTCGGCAATCGGGGGCGTTGGGTCGTTTTTTACCATTGAATACCATCATCACCAAATATCCAACCTGAATCGTGATGCTGAATGTTATGGGATGCGTGCAATTAGCAATCGAGCGAAGTTTGGTAATTTTATGATTTATTTACATGAAGGCATGATGTAATGTTAAGCATGTTTAACGGTTTAAAAAAATGCATGAAATCGTCAACTTTCATCGAACGAAATGTAGCAGAGACTGTACACAAAAGTTAAATGATAAGTGAAGTTTTCAGTGACTTGGCTTATGAAAAACGACGTAAAAATGTATTATTCGTATGTGGGAATAAGTGTTTGAAATAAACACCTACTATGCATTTATCATTACTCATTTACAACCATAAGGCACTACTACGACGGTATAAAATGTTTTCAATCGAAAGTGAACAGCGCTCACCAAATCATAAACTGGATTCGTTAGATTCGATGACGAAGATTCGATAACGATGGCGAGAGATTCGACGAGATTCAGTTGGGTTAGGTGCCTGCATATTTGACGATAACAGATTGAAAAAAACGTAACTTTGACAATCACTCTCATGGGGGCAATGTTGAGTCCGTGCGACAGAGAACAAAACAGGGAAACGTCTACATACACGACAAAAATAAACTGTTTCACGTACCGAGGCATATGGCAGCTACATGCACGGAGTACGTAAGAATTGAGACGAAATGAATTACAAGCTTAGCGGGTATTGGAGATTATAATATTGATGGAGATTACAATATTGAATAATCGGATGTAATCGGAGGCTATCATTGAACACAGTTAAGTTACGCGTGGATGTCTACAACACCGTGCAGAACACCTCGGCTTTTCAGGGTGCAACGGCGACAACTTTTCAAATCAAGCAGAGCGTTCACTGCCATACGCCAGTACAAAGACTCGTCGTATCAAATGTCGCCGTCCACCGTTAATTCTCATATCGCAAAGGAAAGCAGCTTTTACAGGCGCATAAACTGTCAGCTATCACAAGTCTCGAGGACCAGACGCGCAAATCTCACCGCTATATCATCAGCCGAACATTATCGTCATGCGGCGCAGATGCTTGAGCCATGGGATAAAAACGGCGATTATAACGGCAGACTCATGAAGAACAATGGCCCTCTGCTGTCCTAGCCCCACTGTGTACTTTGCACTGGCAAATGTAAACACAGGGAACGCACCTAAGACGACCGCGATATACGGGCATGTTGGACGTTGGTCGTCATCGGCCACTGCCCCCCCCCTCTCTCTCGACAAGGCATTCAGTGATGAAGATAGTTGTCCTGCGTACTCTCCTCCCCCGCACACTCTCCCGAATACTCACCGGCGGGGGTGGTGTCCAGCGCTCCCGGCCTGTCTCCCAGTCGGAGACCGGTGCTCAGAGACTCACTGAGACCGTCCAGCTCGGAGGCCGGCAGACGGGACACGGCGCCGCCAGAGACTGCCGGTGGAGGGTCAGGGAGGTCAGCGGCGGGGTCACGGTGAGACTACATCTTATAAACGAGTTGCGATGTGGGCTACGGGCGGTAGGACATGCTGAGTTCGAGACCGTAGGTAGTTGAAATTCTTAGGAATATAATCAGCTGAGTTTGTTAAACCATTCAAAATGCGGACTAGTGCTAACTCTGCGAGATGCAGTGCCAAGCTTCGATTATTTAAGCAGCCCTCTCTGATAAGGTTGGGTCGGCAGTCGTTCCCCGTTCACCCACCGTTGTTCGTGCCGGCGCCGTGCGCGGGCGCCCTCTGCGCCGCCGGCGCGTCAGTGTCGGTGTCGCTCTCGGTGCTGTCCGGGGGGCGCAGCTCGCTGCCCGCCTCCTGCTCCTGGCGCAGACACTCCTCGGTCTCCTGCTTCCTGCACATCCACTGCTGGATGAGTCCGTTGTGTTCGCCGTCGACGGCGCCGCGGCCGGCCAGCTGGCGGAGCAGCCTCTCGGCGCCGGCCACCAGACGGCGGTACTGGTCGGCGGCAAACTCCAGCCTGGCAGACGGCGGCAGAGGTCAGACGAACGGCGGGAATAGACGGCAGGGACGGTGCGGTCTACGGACAGTGACAGTGTGCGACATTCATGATAAACAAAAAGTTAGATCATTTATAACGGAAAACTGCGCACAAAACACTTTCATGTGTTTAATGTGTGAAAAAACAAACTAGCGTTACACGCGGCTGTAAGACAATGAAGTACTCCCAGTTTCTTTTGAGATGCACAATTAAGTGCTACAACACCACAAAGCCGGTCAGAAGAATGCATCGCCACGAAAGACATCGATGAAACGCATAATGCACGTATCAGCAATTCAGACAAGATTCCCTCTTCCCCACCGTCCCCCAATCTCTCCCGTTCACTCACTGGAAGAGCTGGTCGTCCTGTTTCTCTGGCTCGGGCTCGGAGCGTGTGTTCGGCGGCGGCGCCTGGGCCGCCAGCGCCGCCTGCTGCGCCGCCGCCAGCTGGTGCATCTCGAGCACATGCAGCCGCTGGTAGAGGTCAACCAGCGCGTTCTCGTGGAGCAGCGCGGCGCGCTGGCAGCTGAGCTCGGTCAGACTGGTGAGCGGCGGGCTGGCCGTGTAGCCGAGCCCGGCCAGCCGGCCGGCCGGCGACGCCTGGTGGTGGTACGGGTGCACCAGCGCCGACTGGTGGCTGTGGTGCCCGCCGCCGGCCGGCCGCGGCGGCTGGCTCACCGACAGATTCTGGTGGGAGCCGAACGACGGCACCGTCTGACTGAGCAGGTGGCCGGGGGTGGCGGCAGACAGCGGGTGGGCCAGGGCCGGGAACGATTGGCTGAGCGACGGGTTCAGCGACTGCTGCACCGCCAGACTCTGACTGTGAGCGTGGCTCTGGTTCATCAGCGGCTGGTTCAGCGGAGACAGCGGCTGGTTCATCTGGTTCAGGTTCATCTGGTGGTTCTGGTTCATGGTTTGGTTCAGTCCCATCTGGTTCGGGCTGAGCAGCTGCTGATTTTGGTTTAGCATCATCTGCTCCTGCTGGCTGTGCGTCATCAGCGCCTGGTTCTGGTTCATGATCTGCTGGTTCGCGTTGATCAGCGCCGGGCTGTGGTTCACCACCGGCTGGTTCACAGCCATCATGTGCTGGCTTTGGTTCATGGCCGGCTGGGTGGGACTCATCAACTGCTGGGTCTGTCCACCCACCATCTGCTGAGCCGGGCTCATCACCGCTCCGTGGCCGCTGAGCCTCTGCTGCGCCGAGCTGAGCCGTCTCTGTCCGCCGAACCCCGGTCCGTACCCCGCTCCATACCCCGCCGGAGGAGCAGCGGTCGGGCCCCAGCCGACCGCCGGCGGCGCGTCCAGCTCCGGCCCGTACCCGGGCGCGGCACCGTACCCTCCCTGCGCCCAGCCGGCCGGCGGTGGTTTGCCGTCCGGCCGCGGGGAGGCCGCCTGCAGCGGGTGCCTCAGAGGGTGGACCGGGTGCACCTGGCGCGCCGGGCCCGCCTGCTCGGCCGGCGGCGGATCAGAGGACGGCGGCAGCGGCCGCTGCACGGCGCCACACGTCACCAGGTTGATGACGGCCGGCAGCAGACGCACGTACTGCAGCGAGTTCAGGGACTCGTCTGTGTCGGCCGGCGACAGACAGCAGAGCACCAGCGTGCGGCAGTTGCCGCCGATCACGTCCTGAGGCGCAGAGGTGCGGACGGAGATCGGTGAGTTTTGAGGATAAGCAGCAGGGTGTGTAAGTGGGCAGCCAAGCTGGTTGAGCCGGTTACTACTGGTATCGTGTCTACGAAGCGCATAGAGTCACCCATGGTTGTGACGTTTAACTGAGCGGACAATCAACTAAAAACGTGACTGAGCACACATTAAACCAGCCTACCTGTGCTTCCCCAACCGCAAAACGGAAATCATCCACCTGATTAACCGAATTTACACACTTGAACACAATCATAATTAACTCTCCACATTAAGGCCCCACCCCACTGCTTTCACGACTTGACCAACAGAACACCTAGCACAACCCATCAACCACCCAGGCCACTAATTCCTCTAACCCTTCCCCAACACATCCCACGCACACTCCCTCCCGACCCCACCGTGCACCCATCTGACCTTGAGCAGCGCGGGCAGGGGAGCCAGGTGGTAGGGCACGGACGGCCGGCGGCGGGCCAGCGCCTCCACCACGTGACGCAGTGCCAGCAGGCCGGCATTAATGGTGAAATCGTCCGGGTCGTCGGGCGCCGGCTGTAGCTCCGAGCCGGACAGCTCCACAAAGTACATTGACGAAGAGGTCTCGTGCAGCAGCACACCTGTCAGGGCGGATGGAGGTGAGGGGGATACAATGAGCGGCAATCATGATGTACCATCTGTGAGTGTGTGATGTGTGATGTACAGAGGGGGCTTATAGGTAGGTATTTGTAAACAGCCGGAACTGACGTAGTTTGAATGGAACTCTATTTGAAAACCACTTGTGTTGGCTTAGAGTTATATCTAACAGTTGATCAAAATCCACACACAGAGCCGCGTTTCTCACTTCAGCCGCATTCAGCAGTGACCGTTAACCACCCGCTCTCCTCTCCCTCCCCTCCCGCTGTGCGTGTCCCGGCCCTCTCACCGTCAGCCCACTCCTGCTGAACTTGCACCGTGAACACTGTGTGCGCCTGCTGGTCACTGGCCGCCGTAGAGCCCGCCTGTCGCATGGATGAGCCAGCCTCGAGGCAGTGCAGTACCTCGGAGACGGAGGAGCACTCCAACCGGGTGAGACCCGGCACCACCGGGGAGCCCTGGGGGAAACACAGCGCGGGGGTGGGGGTCAGTGGACAGCGCCAACCGGTCGGAACGGGAGGGGGCGGGAGAAACGGGAGGGGTGAGATGGGATGGGTCGAGATAAGAAGGGACGGTTTAGACACGTACATATCAATCAGAGCTGACTTCACAAAGCACCAAGGTGGTTTCTGCCAAAACATCTCCACTAGACGGATTTTATCTCAGGGACATTGTCTGCTAATGCTCCCACGTCTCTTCCGTCTCTTTTATGCTAACCAGTGAGTGATGACTCATGAGCAGCGGTAAGTCCCTCCACTCCCCGACAGGGCAGCGGCATCAGTAGCCTATCTCTTCACGGGGCTCACGCCTCACCTCCTCGTCGTACTGCACATCCAGGTGGTAGCTGACGGGCTCGTAGTTGAGCAGGTCGCGGATCTCCTCCTCACCCACCTCCAGGTAGCTGGCCCGCACCGTGAACGCGTGCTCGGCCACCTCGTGTGAACTTTGCTGCACGGCGACAAACGAGACTTTCGTTAGCAGTCAGTGGGCATAAGGGAACTATGAAACGATCGTAGTTCGTAAATCGTAATGGAACGTGACGAATCGAAGCTGGACCAGGTGCGGAATTGGCGTAATAAACTGACAAATATTAATATGAAGACAATTATCATAAGCCAATAAAACTCTGAATTCGTAATACAGCGTACCAATGTGACCGTACCTAATGCCTGGAGGCCCGGGAGCCCATAGCGCACGATGTGCGTTGAAACATACAAACGCGTAGCCCGCGCGTAGGGCAAGTGCCCTATGCATTAATAACACGTGGCACACGTACCTTCAGTGCCGCGAACACGTGGCGCACGGCTCTGGGCAGCACGCCAAACTCGGCCTCGCTCATGGCGAACGTGGCGTCCGGTCCGACCAGCGTGAACGTCTTCCCCGAGCCCGTCTGGCCGAACGTCACCACGGCTACATTGTAGCCTGGGGGTGGAGGGGGAAGGGTGGTGAGGGAAGGGTGGGGGGACACAGCAGTTATACGAGTTTAGAGGCTGTGGGTGATTAGTTAGCAGTTGGCAAGTGACGGTGTTTAATTGGTGTTGAAGCAAAATGTGTTACTCAGGAAGTATACCATCTGCCTGCACCATCGCTGGCTATATTCCGTGTTCCGAAAGAGACTAGTCGGAAAATAATAAGTGTCATGCAGATAAAGCCGGCGAGAATCTAAAACAGAAGTCGCAAATAGCACAGAATACAGCCACATAAGCAGAGAACAGCGCGCTCGTCCCGTCGGCCGTCACCCTCCGGACGAGACACGCCCCGGCCGGCGGCGCGGTCCGCCTCACCCTGGAGCAGCATCTCGACCTGCGGCTCGACGGCCGCCGCGTACAGCTCCTGCTGGCCCACAGAGGCTGGCAGGCAGAACGTGGGCTCGAACAGGTGGCCCTCGACGGTGACCTGGCCGGTGGCCAGCAGCTCGACCCGCTCGTCCGACGGCGGGTCATCCGTGTCCAGCACGGGCCGCAGCTGGGGGCAGCCCGTCATGTCAGGGGAGGGGTGTAAGGAGATACGACCATGGGTGTTAGACTCATATTGGGATAGAAATGTTAGGCATGGATTAGAGGAAAACACAATGTGGGAAAGTTGGTACAGTATGGAAATAATATTACTACAGGCCTACAGCAACGCACTTTGTATGTGGATCGCTCTTAAATATAAATACAAATGCAAATACAAACACAAAAACAAATACAGCAATAAGGAAACATTGAAGACTCCACTAACATGTAAGAAATAACCAGCAAAGAAGACATTTTGGGGTCTGGTCTGCGTATAGACCTCACCTCTGTCTTCACTTATTAGCTATGAATGCATATTTTCAAGCTATTTGTGATGATCATTCTTTGTTAAGCAATTAAGATGAGGCTAAAATTAAATAAAATAACCACATCAAGGACATAACCAATGGTTGAAGAATGTATAGATGACATTAACACTTACCCTTACACCAACTTGTATTGGTATTTCCAAATAACTTTGTTTCCTTTCAAAATCCATCTTCAGCTGATTCCAGTCACAACAGCGAGCCAAACAACAGAGAGCTCCTTGAACTAATCCACAATGTCACATTGATTTGACTCTTGAGATATCACAACTTATTCTCAGTCATGTTTGCCCTGGAATGTCAAAATATTTATAGAGTGAATGCTTTCAATCTACAAAAATGAGAAGGAAGAGCAACACATGAATGCTGACACTAGTTGACTTTTCCCACATAGCTATTCAAAAAAGCAGTACATTTTTTAAACTGAAGAGTAAGCATAAAAAAAACTTTTAAATTTACTTGAACCATAGGCTTAGGCACAGATGAATCAAATTTAACTGCAGATCCAATGTCTCTCCATGTTCCATATCAAGATATATGTTTAAAAAAGAAGAATGATTATTGCTTCTCAAAAACAACAGACCTCTCATTCTAACTCAGACTAACATGTGAGTTGTGACAAACTGGATGCTTACTGAAACTTTCAACTGGAGCCATTAGTATCAATAGGTTACACACTCCACAAATGGTTAATCTATACCTTTGGCCTTAGCTTAAGTTAAACATTCTCAAACCTTCTAACCCACCCACTTTCTGCCGGTACCTGAGCCAGGCATTGTTGGAGCTTGCTTATTCTGCATGCGGCAAAACCACAGAGTGGGTAAACTAGCGATATTCATTAAAAAATGGCTTAAATCTGGTTTAATATATTTAGTAGCAATGTGCCACTGCAAATAGTGACAATTATACAAAAACATAGTATTTTAACAATTAGAAATAAAGGACAACACTGAGTATTCTTCTATGAGTATTATTATTTAACTCAAGCTGATTTGGCACCTGCAGGCTGCAGCACCAATTTTCAAGCTGCACAGTGGAGAACTATGCTGCAGTAGGTGATGCCACACCTGCGATAATGCACCAGTGTGGGTGAGGCGAGGGGTATAAGTGTAGCAGCTCTCACCATGCATGCATCAGCACATTTTTGCAGCACTTCAAACATGACGCGTTAACATTGAAATGGCAGCGGTAGTGTAATTACGTTGTACAAAATACAGTTGGTACTTGGCATAGTTGTGATAAACCGAAAATTATTGTCCATTTCAGGGTTTTCATGATGGTTTCCACGTTATTTAGCATGGAGAAGTGGATTCTGAGTTCTGACTATAGAAAATGTGTGATTTGATAGGCAAAGGTCTTTAAGATCACCAATGTTTCACTTTTTCTTACAGTGATTGGTCAGTATTTTCATCACTCTAAAAAGAAATCACAACTCTCTCACAACTCTCAACAATTATATTGATTTCAAGGCCGTATAAGAGAGGTAGAATCATCCCGCGATTTCCAATGGACCGGTCGCTAAGCATTCGCGTGACGTCACTGGTGGAGACCGGGCGGCGCCCGGCTCCAAGCTGTACGTCGGGTACATTTGGCCCCGTATAGTTGTTATTACTGAACGTAACGACAACTAAACTTTTTTACTCACCTAAAGATGATTTCCTTACCGGTACATTGCCGACCCGAGCCCCAGGGTTGACAATCATGGGATATGGGTCGGAACTCGGATGGGCGACCTCGCGACGGGATAAGGAACGATTGCAATTGTTGTGTCCCGCACCGCCGATTGCATTCTCTATCTGCATCGGGGGGGGGGGGGAAGCAGGGGGCACGTGCCCCCCATCGGATCAGGGGGCCTCTCGGGCCCGAGGGGCCTTGCGACGCCAATTGGAGGCTGAGGGTCCACGCTGGCATCTTTCGACTCAGAAGGGCCCCGCAGGGCTCGGAAGGCCTTATGTGCTCCGAAGAGCCACACTTCTCTCCATAAGAGCCCCACACCGGCTTTTTAGTGTCCCTTGTCGGCCTTTGAGGGCCCCTTGCCGGCTTCTCAGGGCCTATTGACGACCTCTGAGGGCTACTTGCCGGCCTCTGAGGGCCCTTACCGGCCTATCAGGGACCAGCAGCTCTAAGGGTTCCACACACGCCTGCGATGACCCCCTAAACCAATGGTTGAAGGCCCCCACAACCGCGCCTGCGAGGGCCCTCACCGGCGGCTGTGAAGGCCCCACACCGGTGCCTAGCTGAGGGCCCCACACTGCCACCTCTGAGTGCAACCGGCACCCCTGAATGAGCTCCCGAAACCGTATATCGGCGGCTCTGGGGGCTCAACGCCGGAGCCTCTGACGGCCTCAGACGGGACCTGTGCATCGGACGGCCACTCACCGGTGACTTTTGAGGGCCCACACCGACGACTCTGAGGGCCACACTGGCGTTTGAATGTATCTTGCTGGTCTCTAAGGACTCCACAGGGCTCCCGAAGGCACCGCAGACCTCTTGAGAGCCCCTTGTCGGTCTCTGAGAGCCCCTGTCAGCCTGTAAAGGGTTCGAGCCAGCAGCTCTAAGGGTCCCACACCCGACTGTGACAACCCCACACCGCAGTGTCTCTGACGGCCCACAACGGCAACTGTGAGGACCCTCACCGGCGCCTCTGAGGGCCCACAGCGGCACCTCTGGGGACCCCGCACCAATGCCTCTGAGAGCCTCACACCGGTACCTGTGAGGGCCCACCTCCAAAGGCTTCATAACCGGCGGCCCCGAAGGCATCACACAATCTCTTAGTCTCGCTGAGCTTCTATCCCAATCCCATACCGGCTTCTATCCCAATTCCGGCTCAACTAATTAGCAGCCCCCCCCCCCCCTCCATGGGTCAGCAGCGCCGCGCCGGTGCCGGGGGCCAGCGCCATTGGGGCGGCAGTCGCCACGCGCACTCAATGGTTAGCGCTTAGCACCGACGGCTAGCGCACGCCCGGTGTGTCATCGGCCGTGAGCCGCTCCAAAACGGCTGCAGTAACTAGTCGATATAGGTAGTAAGGAGATGCAGAGATGCAGGTGGATTGATGACCGGCAAGCTTTTGTGTTTTACGAGGGTGAAGGGTCGAAGTCGGCTGCTAAGTGGTGAGCGGATTTTATCAGATGCCGGTTCACCATGACCTTTGTCCGGGTCCTGGTACCCTGACGCACTCTTGGAGAGCAGGATCACAGCAAAAATCCATCCACGACTGTATCTATACGGCTTACGCTGTTCTGAAAACGTCTGCGTTTGGCCTTCTACGGGCCCGGCCGCGAGTTACCTAAGTGTGGAACTACAAGTCGATTCTAGGGCTCTGATTGGTCACTTTGGTCGGGGGATGACGCTTATAGCATGACGTCACCCGCGTACTTGGCCGGACCAACGGCGCGGCGCAGGCGCGCCGAGCCAACCCAGAGGCTCTCAAACTCAATTGTACAGATCCTGCGCATTGAATGGCGAAACTTCGGCGAGTTCGCTTGAGTTTGGAAGCCCCTGCCAGAGAACTGGAGACGGCCGGATTATTTGCTGGACAGTGGGCAGCGCAGATGGCGATTGACGGTGCCAAAAAGATGATAGGGAAAAAGGGGTTGAGACTTGAGCAGTGAATGTGAGCCTGTTGTATTGTATTGTATTACCTTCATGGACAATCCACGCGGGGCGTGGCGATTACAGTCCAGAGTCTGAGTCGGGCACAGACAAAAACATGCGGGGACAAGAAACACAGGCATACAAATTCAATCGCTGGACATTCGCTCTCTCTATATACAAACGGACGATTCAAGACAGCACACCGCACACGGATGTCGCACCTCCTTCCCCTGACACGGGTCATCGTCGGGCGGTCGTCATCGCCGGACAGACTGCAGCCTTGGCCGCACGGGCGAATTGGGCGGGGCGCTGTTCGATGACACCGGGAGGCAGACTGTTGAGTAGCGCCGCGGCCCGGTAGGCGAACCGTCGCTTGCCAGTCTCGAGCCGCGAGCGTGGAAGGTGGAAGAGGTGGTCCTGTCGTGTGGATCTCTCTCGCGCGTCACTGTTATTCGTGAAGATGGCAGCTAGTGCTTCGGGCTCGCCGTTGCTTATTATTTTCTGCGCAGTTACCATGGTTTTAACATCGGCCATAGCTTTCGGAGGCATCCATCCGAGTGAATCGCGGAGGCCAGAGACGTGATCGAATTTCCGGCGGCCGAATATGACCCGTGCTGCAAAGTTTAGAATTTTTTGGAGTCGGTCGAAGTTTTTCTGGGAGCCGTTTCCATATACAGTGAGGCAGTACTGGACGCGCGAGATGACGAGTGCAGTCACGATCGTTTTGAGGATACCGTCTGGGAGGCAGTGTCGTGCGTGGGAGAGGCCGATCAGTACGCCCGTGCAGCGACGGCTCAGCTCGGCCACGTGTGCTTCCCAGGTGAGTGCGCCGTCGAATACAACACCTAGGTTTCCCACCTGCGCGCACGGCAGGAGCTCAGCGTCACGGAAAGAGATTTTGAAGCGAGGCAGGTTACGTAGGTTTTGTCGGCTACCGAATACCATCAGTTGAGTTTTAGAAGCGTTGACTTTCAGGGCGTGTGCGCAGAACCATGCGTTAAGTGACTCTAGCGATGCCTCCATGCGCGAGATGAGACTCCTGATGTCGTTGCGTGGGCCGCTCACCAATATCTGGGTGTCGTCTGCGTACTGATAAGCGGTGGCGTCTCCGGCAAATAGTGAGAGGTCGTTGGAGAATATAGTGAAGAGGAGGGGACCCAGAGCCGAACCCTGGAAAACTCCTACGGTGTTTGGGAGCGGTCGAGAGGTTATCTTACGGCCGGTTTTGTCTTTCAGGGATACACTCTGCGTGTGTCCCTGAAGATAAGCGGAAAACCAGGAGGTCTCAATACCGTAGATTTGGAGCTTTTTGACAAGGAGTTCATGGTCAATGACGTCAAAACATTTGCTGAGGTCTATGAGGCATAGCATTGAGATCTCACCCCTATCGGTGGCGGCAAGGATGCTATCTGTGACTGACAGCAGCGCAGTCTCAGTGGAGTGTCGGGGGCGGAATCCGTGTTGGGTAGACGAAAGAAGGTGGTTATGGGTGAGATAGTGATAGAGCTGCTGATGGATTACACGCTCGATGATTTTCATGATTACGGGAACTAGGGAGATCGGTCTGAAATTGCTGGGGTCAGATGGGTTGCCAGACTTGAAGATCGGTTGAACGATAGAGTGTTTCCAGGGGTCAGGAATGTCGGAACGGGTTATTGAGACGTTGATGATGTGTAAAATGATGTCGCCAATAGTTTGGAAGCATACTTTTAACATGCGGATGCATATACCGTCAGTGCCACGCGCGGCAGAGTTTCGCATGTTGAACACTGTGAGTCCGAGTTCCCCGAGAGTGATGGCCCTCGGCCTAAAGCTGCATGCGCCGACACGGGGTAGACGTATGTAGCGGGGTTTCGCGGCGTTGCGGGGCTAACCGGGCAGTGTCTTTCGATAGTGATGGAGAGCAAGCTAACCGGACAGTGTCTTTCGTTATTGAGGGGTGAGAGCTCCGTCGGCGCGCTCCATGAAGCCCATCGCTTTATCCAGCCCCTCGCGAACCCGTTCCGACTCTGACTCTATCTTTCCGGGGCGATCAATCATCGGAAACACATAGGCCAGGGTTAGGGAATGGGAGATAATGATAAATGTTAATCAATTACCCTCGATCATATTGGTATAGAAAATCAACTCTATTTAACAAAAAGTCCCACTCTCAAACAACAGCGCCCTTCCTAGCTTGAGGGTCATCTCCCACCAGATATATGTATCAATCATTCGTCCATTTATCCATCCCCTTACAACCATGTCATTCGTCCACTTATACCTCGTAATTTACCAGAGTTGACCATCTCCGGTCCCTCCCCTTTTTTCCTAACTTCCCCCGGTGGTGCTAGGGCGCGCGCAAAGTCGTTATCGAGTCATTGGCCTTAAATGTCATTTAACCGTTATCCCTTCATAACCACAATGTTCCGTACATCAGACAAACGCTTCATAATGCTCACGCTACACAATTAGAGATACGACCCACCACATATTTCGGCACTCGACCTTCGCGTTACGTGACTTATTGCGGTCCGTCCCATCACCATGTCGAACTACCTACACAAAAAAAACATAAATGTCTTCGGCCAGCGGCTCCGAGACTACGGCTCGCAGGGCACTGTGTAGTCCGGTTTCCGCGGGGGACTTATTTGAAATTTGAGACCGGGGCTGGGTAACTAAGGTCCGTCCGGGCTGCCTGCGTCGTCTCCGTATAGCCGCGGTTTTCGGGCCAGCCCCCGGCGACCGAAAGGGGTTAGTCGTTCGTCGGCTTTACACGAATCCATGACTACCAGTTTATGCCAAATTGCCTATAATAAAACGAAAACTAAGCGTACCACGGCCCGCAATGGGCTTATCTAAAATTTGAAACCGGGCTGGGTAAC